GGGATGATGATCCTATGGGGAGTTTATGGGGGTCCTGTGTATGGCCTATGGAGGATCCGGAGGGTGTGTGGGATGCCTTTTGGGAGGTATGGGCATCTGTCAGGGGTTGTGGGGTGAACTCTGGTGGGTTTTGGGGGTCTATGGGGGTTCTGTGGGGCCTGGGTGAGATCTGCGGGGGTTTGGAAGGGAGGGTTGGGCCTACGGAGGGGCTGGGGGGATTGTGGGAGTGTCTGTGATGCTGGGGTTCCCTATAACTCTCCATGGGGTGTTTTGGGGGTTGGAGKTYCCTRTAGCCCCCCATGGRGTYTCTTTGGGGTGGRGKGTCCCTAYAGACCCCTTAAGGTTTCTGAGGGGYCCGTTTGGTTTGGGGGTGYTGGGGGTTTGGGGGTGTTCCCTCTGGACTCTCCTCCTAGTGCTGATYCCCTTTTTTCCCCTCCCCAGGCCCTGCTGATCCCGCTCCCCACCATGTTCCTGCTGCCCTGCTCCGCCCTCGCCCTCCTCCTCCTCACCTGCCTGGCTCTGGAGCCGCCCCCTCGCTGCCCCCCGCCCTCCAACCCGGCCTTCCGCRGCTTCCAGCGGGCGTTCCTGCTGGGCTACCTGCCTGCACTGGCTGCGGACTGGCTGCAGGGCCCGCTGCTCTTCCAGCTGCTGCAGAGCCGGGGCTTCCTGCGCAGCCAGATCGCCGCCCTCTACTCCTGCGGCTTCGCCTCCAACGTCGCCTTCGGCCTCGTCTCCGGTGTCTTCGTGGATCGGCTGGGCCGGAAAAAGTCCTGCGTGCTGTCCTCGGGGCTGTGCTCCGTGTCCTGCCTGCTGCAGCTCTCCCGGGATTTCCTGGCGCTGGCGGTTGGCCGGGTGCTGGCAGGGCTCGGCACCTCGCTGCTCTTCTGTGCTTTTGAGTCCTGGTACATCCACGAGCACCTGGAGCGCCACGACTTCCCGGCCGAATGGATTCCCGACACCTTCTCCCGCGTGGCCCTCTGGAACGGCGGCCTGGCCGTGGCAGCCGGGCTGGTAGCCGAGCTGGTGGCCGAGGGGCTGGTGCTGGGCCCCGTGGCCCCGTTCCTGGTGGCAGTGCCCTTCCTGGTGCTGTCGGGGATCTGCGTTGGCAAAATGTGGGATGAGAACTACGGGAAGAGCCGCTCGTGTGGGAAGGCCTGCGGGGAAGGCCTTCGGGGCCTGGTGTCCAACCCCCTGGCGCTGCTCCTGGGGCTGGTCCAGGCTCTGGTGGAGAGCATCCTCTTCATCTTCGCCTTCCTCTGGACACCCATCCTGGAGCCGCACGGGATCCCGCTGGGAATCGCCTTCTCRGGATTCACGGCCGCCAGCGCCGCGGGCTCGGCGCTGTTCCGGCGCGGCGTCACCGGSAGGCTCCGGCTGCAGCCGCTGCGGCTCCTGCCCGCCTCCATCCTGCTCCTGGCGCTGGCCCTGCTCGTCCTGGCGTTGCCACTGTCCCCCGCCGGCGCTTTCCTCACCGTGCTGGTGCTGCAGCTCTCCTGCGGGATTTACTTCCCAGCCATGGCGTTCCTGCGGCGCCGGCTGGAGCGGCGAGGGGACACGGCGGGAGGGGCGCGGTGGCTGCGGCTGCCCCTCGGCCTGGGGGTGTCGCTGGCGCTGCCGGTGCTGCCCGGGGACCCTGCGGGGACACGGGGSGTGTTCGGGGCCGCGGCYCTGGCGGCGCTGGTGGCACTGGGGGCGGCCGGGGGGATCCTGGTCACCGCCCATGGGGATGAGGGGCTGAGGGTGGGGGATGAGGGGCTGCTCGAGGGGGACACTGGGGTGTGATGAGGACATTGGGACAGGTCAACAAGGGCACCTGGCTGTGATGGGGACAYCAGGATAGGTCAAGGGGGACACCAGGATGTGACAAGAACTGTGGGGCATGATGGGGTCATGGACAC